GTTACTCTATTTTAGTCTGCGTAAACTATTAACAGACACACCCACATCTTCTGTTGCCAGTGAAGATAAACATATGAATGAAAGACCATCTTCTATTTCCAATTCCCTTTTTAACCGATTTTAATACTGAAGTGAACTATACTGAAGAAAATTGGAGGAAAAAAGAAATAAAAAGCTGTCTTCAGCAGTGAATGACATTAATTTTAGTCCAAGGTTTCGTTCGGCATTTCCAAGAAGGAATGATACAAAATTCAGAAATTGCAGAAACAAAACGAGAAACTGCAACAGTATAACTTCAATAATAACACAAGAAGTCTTACTTAAAAAGATTTACATTACACAGTTAAGCTCAGGAATGATAAAATGCAGTTGCATAGAATGCAAATATTATGCTCCACTCAGCAGTAGTGAGTTTTTTCAATTAAATTAAGTAGAGCTGTTATTAAATGGTTCTGCGAGTCTGTAATTTTGCTTTTTAGCTTGAAGAAATATGTCATCATATCATTAATACAATGTGCTCGCCACATGTTGTTTCACACTAAGAAAAATGTACTATAGCCTCAAATCATATTCAGGCTAACCCAGACTGACTAAGGACAATAGTGCCTACTGGGTGCACAACTGAACAGAGTAACAGCGCTACAGCTGCTGAAATCCAGAGACCTTTGAAAGACAGGACTAAGGAGCATCAGAAAGAAGCCGACTGCATGGTGTGAATGACAGTTCTTGGCATATTAAGTTTCACAGTGAAAGAAGAATAAGACATTAAGAATTTTATTTCCTTAGAATTACCTGAATTATGCTCAATAAAATAATACAGCTCATGAGGTACTTTAAGAAGGAAATTACTCATACAGCTTAAAATATTTCTGAGCATTCCAAAGACACCGAGAAACTCAGTTTCTTAACTGCTTTTCTCTGGTAAGAAGAGAGAGCCTATTTTCGCTTGCTCTGTTATACTTCAAAACAGAAATGAGAATTTCAACAGAAGAGTACTGGTAAAGTCTTTTCTTATTCAGAGCATTAATTGGTATTTGGGAATACCATTTCAGAGCATTACCAGTGCACGCTGTTCTAAAATATCACATATCTTGTACTAGCTGCAATTGTGAAACATCACTGCATAAGAACGTAAAATTAGCGTACAGCATGACTGTTTCTGATAGAGTAGAATCAATTGCAAAATAAATTACACAAAATAGAAAATTTCGTAAAGTAATATGAAAATGAGCGCTTCTATGATCTTCGTTATCGCAAGCAGCGTTATGCCATAGTAACATATCACATTTCAACTTCACTTGTTAAAATGATTCAAATTACATTACAAAGTCTTTCAATACACAGAGCCAAAACTTCTATAAAACTCTCCTGGAAAGTATGCTATAAAGAGCAAACCATTTTAAATCATACTTAACACATGCTCTCACCTTCACTGGAAGTTTGGAACTCTCAAGGATCTTTCCAATGGCAGATAAAATTCCACACATGAGGGCAGAAATCAGCATCATCACCCCAACCGCTGTGAACCAAGACATACTGCAGAAATAGCATAAACTTTCTGCCGATGTGCATACAATGACGTGAACTGCACAGAGCATCAGACACATCAAATAAAACAGCAGAGAGAACAGTGGAGGGGAGAGAGGCACTTCAAATTCTGCCCGGCTACTCAGAGCTTTTGGAGTGCTGAGCACCAACAGAAACAAAACCTAGAAAAAAAAAAGAGAGAGACAATACTTAAAGACTTGGGATCAGCTAAGGCACAGAATAAGAATTCACACACGCAAAAAGAAAAGTAATGCTCTCATTCATGTCACTCTGCTAGTACACATACATTACCAAAAAAAAAAAAAAAGTGAAGAACTGCACCTGAGAATTTGATCCCAGTGACGTATTACCATATAAAGGGAGAAGCAAAATTATATGTTCATTTACTAGTTTAAGGGCTCAGATACACAAGTTACCAGGGTTTAATAAGTTTCCATGGGCCTCCTGACCCACTGTAATCAGTCACATGCACAATCTTCATCCCTTGCAAAGGTAAGAACGTTAACTCTCAGTATCACAACAGCTCCTAAGCAAACAAATTTAACCCATTACTAGCAACAGGCCAAAAGTTACGCACATGCTCTACCAATGCTTTTCTCTCACAAGTTACATGTATACACTAAATTAAATGGCTTCCCAGGCTGAGAAAAGCTCCCATACGTGTGCTGAGAAAAGCACACACACACGTCATTTTTGGACTTCATGAATTCTTCAGGTATTATTTCTTATCCTCCTCCTCCTCTTAAATTGCTTTATTGATTTTACTTTTTCAGAGCTAATACTTTGCTCTAACCCACACACAGATCAGGCAGAATTCCAAGTTTCCTCTCAGATAACCGTAGTGGTAGAGATGAATACTAAGACGAGTTATTTCTATTACCCAGGCACCCACGCACAAATCTTTACAAACAAAGAAGTAATTCAGCCGCATTCTAAGATTTTTTTGCAAGGTGTACAAATGGAGCTAGGACTAAACTGAGCTCAATCTGTTTGGCAGGGCAAGATTAGAACAAATCAAGATAAAAATAACTTCATCACACTACCACCAACCTGTAATCTTACACTTCAACCTGTTAAGACCTCTATCTGAAATTTACCATGTAGTACAGTAAAATACAGTAAAACAGACCCTCCTAAAAATGCCAGTGCATTCCAGTAGTAATCCTTCTTCTTCATAATATACTTTGCACAATTCACATGGTTATGAAAATATGAGGTTTCATGGCATTAAACTAGCTTGAGTTTTACTTTTTAATACAGCATTTACAAATAAAATCAGAACTCATGATAAGAAAACGCTCGAAATGTAATTATCTCTAAAATCTAAATTCAGCCCCTTTGGGAAAGTGCTCTATGGATAAATACTTTCATCACCATTCCTCAGAGGTATTATTCTCATTTAACATACTGGACGAACTGTATTTAGGGAATTGTGTTTCAAGCTACCTGTGAGATCTCCCTCTATTCTTCAACGAGGCTGAAAAATATGTAGCATCAAGACAAAAAGATGATTGTGGAAAGTAAGGAGTGTGAGTACCAGACTGGAGGAAAAAAAGAGCATTTCCAGCACTTGTGTACAGAGTCATCAAGAGATGATGAGCAAGCTCTTGTCATCCAAACTTTTCATGGATAATCACTAGCTTAGGTTTCTTTTTATGAAGACCGTCAATTAAAATACCTGAGATCAGTTTTGCAGAAACAGTGAGCACCGACAACTGCACTTCAGAAAAAGAAATCCCATCAAGAGCTTGAACGCTTAGATTTCCAAAACAAAAGAACAAGAAAGGAACAGAAGCACTTCTCCTTGACACTTGACATTGTCCACCTTCATTCGCAGTCTGTAAAACGGGAACAGAACCTACCATCTCACTGCAAAACTAATTTCTGTGAAGACTTATTCTCATGAAGTAGAACTGCTGATACCGCATATTATCAATTCCTTCACAAGAAATGAAGTGGAAACCAAGTGCCTTACAGGAAATAGTTGTTTCAAGGCTTTAGGCCTAACCGTACAAATAAGAATTCTCCATGTCTGAAAACTGGCCACACAGGGTCTTGCTTGTTCTGATCAACTATGCTGACTGCGAACTCGGGTAATTAGGATAATTAGGAATAGGTGGGAATTTATTTGCCTGCCTTTCCTTTCTAAATGTAGTTAAGTTTTTAAAAAGTATAAGGCTAATGATATGGGAGTAATTTAAATTGTAGCATATCTGCACATTTACTATAAATAGTTCCACCAAAACATAAGTAGCTTATATCAAAAGCTCCCTTGAATTACTTTACAAGCTAAGCTATACATTAAAAAGAATATTATCCTCTTTCAAGCAGAAAGTCGGCGAACTCTAAAAGAGTTCATACTCAGTAACACTGCAGAGTGGTAAAAGTATACACAAATTATTCAAAAATGAGAAAATGTCATGTTTGTGCTCTTATCCTTTTCACAGAAAGATGTATTTTCATACCTCCAGAACGATCACAGTTCCCACCATCATCGAATACATGTCATATTGTGCCACTTGCTTGCTTAGTGAAGAACTCAGAGTCTTCAGCGCCTCCAAATATTGCTTCAGAACCTTTTTACCAAGATTTAAGAGTATTTCTGAATTATTCCCGTCTAAGTACAGTTTGATCCAATTACCATGGGACTTTTCTGCTACCTTAAAATGCTCATATCCAGGATCTAATGAGGGGGAAAAACAAACAAACGAAAAGCAAGTAAGAGGACCCATGAACAAAGGAGGATAATCAAAGATTTGATTATACGTCTACATTTGCTTGCATAATATAAAAAAGCTTGCCATGGGGGTTGAAACCTTTTCATACCTAGAAAGTTACAATATCTTCATGTAGTAAGACCATAATGAGCCAGTCACGCAGGAAAAAAAGCAATTAATCCCTAACTAGATAAAAAGTGAAAGCCCCTAGAAGATGATAACCATATTAAAGTATGTCTACTTTTACAGAAGATTTCCAAGATGAACTTACTCAAATACTTTAAATCCTGACAAAATTTCTGTTTTCCACTGGAGACACTTACCCAGGCCATCTTGTGCAGGCCACGTGGGAAATCATCAAATAGCTGATCTCTGGAGAAAACATCAAAGAATACAAACTCACCATATTAGGAACCCTAATTACTTTTGCTGCAAAGCTAATGAGAATTAACTGGTAACAGGAAGTGAAATACACAAGATGCCAGATATAGAGGCACTAATGCAAAAGTTAACAGCTGAAACGCACAGTTTGGCTTCAGGCGTTTGGACTATGCAGCCAGTGACAGCCACTGCAGTGAAATTCAGTGAGCGTACTATTGTTTGAAGGCTAACTTGGTTAAAAAAAAAAAGAGAGAGAAAAAAAATGATGCTGCCATCAACCTATAGGAGCAAGACTAGTGACAGAACGTGACTTTATGGTGGCCTAACCACATCTAAGAGAATTCTAACCTGAAATAATAAAGAAAAACACTCAGAAAAAAAAACAAGCTCCAGGTCAATCACATATATGTTGCCATATCTAGGAAATATTCTCATGTGAAAATGTAGATTCAATTAAGTTTCCTGATTAAATAAATGTGGAAAGGGAACTGTTCCTGAGCGTGACACCAAGAGATAACCACTGGGTTCCACTTAAGTCCTTAAATCCACATCAGCCTCCCTATGGCCAGCTTCATAATGCAACAGTGCCATAATAATACCCACCATAAAACCCATAATACCCACTCCTTCATTCATATCAGAATCTGACAGGATTGTTTGGGCCTTTTGTAAGTTAAAGGGTTTGCTTTACAGTGAGTAAATATTCACCGTCTTATCTCATGTAAACATGCTTCATCCTAGACACACAGCACAGACTTTTAACAAAAATCATGGCCCAGAAAATAACGACCTCTGGTAAATCATTTAATTTATGCCTCAACTCTTTATAAGGAAAATTGATAAACAAATTTCCTCTTGAGCCAAGAGTTTTCTAAGCTGTTTGCAATACATACTGCACTGTTCACTGGAGAAACAACCCGGGTATTTTTAATTTTATTGCAAGTTCTTCAGGCAAATGAAGTATTCCTGTTCACAATGCTTGTACAGTTATGAAACAAAGGTGTCTCCGCATTGTAAATTTCTTATCCCTCCAGGACTCCTAGTGATCTACTACAGGCTGAATTGAGCACGAGAATTTTAGAAAGGAATGTTTAACTAAGAATGTCAATTTTCCTCTTCCAAATTTTATAACGTGTCCCAAAACATGCTGATCCTACTGTAAAGAACGCTCACAGATCTCTGCTGGCAGGTACAACTCAACTAGCAGCAAATATATGTGTATCAAGATAGCTGCCAGCGTTCGCTTCACTACCATAACTGTTTGGGGACAATTAATTGCCCAGAAAGTTCCTTTTCCAGCATATCTGGAATTGAGTTAAATATTCATACTTTTGAGGAAATCCGGAAAGGACAATCTAAATCGAACTGCTTTCATCAAACTGCAAGATCATGCAATACTCCATTTTATTACACAAAACATCAAAATTTGATTTCAAGTTATATCTTGAAATCTAAATAAATTCCTTCCTCACCTTTTGCTCCGGTTTTCACCCCTCACCCAGCCTCCCTTTTCATTCCTAGAAGAACTTTTATTTCATTCTTACCTGCCTTATTCCATACTACCGCCCACTAAACCCATCCTGTCCATGGTGTGAAAGATGACTCTTGTAATCAAATACACATTTGCTTCTTTGAGGAACAAGATGGAAACAGCTTAAAGATCTCACAGACTGGAATGAGGGAAAAGGGTTACCAAATTTCCTCTGAGAATTCCAACGTTATCTGTTCCATGGCACATTTGTAAGCAGTCAGCGTAAAACAAGGAGGGTTATAGACTCTGGGTGGCTGAAGAAGCCCTTTAGTAACTGGGGCATGTTTGCCTGGCGTGCCTACATGGCATACTCACAAGAGAAGCTAGACTCAAGGCCAAATCTAAAGTCAGCTTGCCCAGCTACAGGAGGTTTCCCTGAGCACAGAGAATAGTGTATTTGTATAGCATTACATTAGCATTTTCTGCTTCAGCCTCCCTCCCGTGCTATAAAAGGCAAATGGCTATGCTTCCAGCATCTGGTTGATAACATCTTCACTTAGTTCCAGTCACAACCAGCAGTCATTTAAAAACTGGAAAAATATGAGGAAAGAATGGACAATGTGAAAGTGCCTTCTTCAGTTTCAGTATATAAATCTGTCAGAAATAAGCAAATGATTTTATTTAACACATGCATCTAATGAAGATTAGTTCCAAACTGAAAAGTGGACATTCATTTGAACAATAACATTCAACTTGGTTCTCAAGTGTGGCTTTTCATTCCACTGTAAAATTGCCTCTTAAAGAAACAATCCTAACTCATCAGTCAGATGAATGTTTGTAAGTTCAGAACAGAAGGAATCATAACTAGCTGCCTACAGCTGCCTCCCTCACATCGAGATAAGAGGTCATTCACAATCCCCAACTGCGTGTCTAGGTACTTCTCCCTTCAGCTTCTTCATTTTTGACAGCTGTTTTCATTCTCCATTTCCAGAATCTTTTTTAGCTGCATGTGTTCTTCTCTAACAAAAGAAAACCTAATGCCTCATATCAATATTTATTAGTCTCTTTTCCTTGAAATAATTAAGCCATAGACCAGCTTCAGGTTTCTTATTTAATCTTTAGTTTACCTGATAACAGATTTAACCCTGAAGGTTCCTTTGCCCCTCAACAAGTCAAAACCAAGCCTCGTGAAACGCTGTAAGAACGTGTCTCACAACATCCTTCAGCTTGAAAAAGCATCCCCCTAACTCTTACATGAGCTAAGATTTAAAAAAAAAACAAAGTTCCTGAGCTGCCTCCACTCTGCTCTTCATTAATATGCATACTTAACATACAGCTGAAGACCAAGATATGTGTGCGCACAGTTCCAATTTGTTCTTAATACTGGATTGGCTGAACTCAGGCAACTCCCAAGTTGCTTCATCAAATAGCATGTAAAGCCATTCTGCCTTCCCATATGATGTGATTATCTCAGCTGACATCTGACTTCCAACTTTTTGCATTAAAAAAAATAAGAACATTGCATCAAAAATTAAAGTATTGATTATGCTAAAACTTACAATGGGTGAATCTTTTCTCTCCATGACTCAGTCATCATATTGAAGGTATTAACAATTGGTGCAATCTGTGCAATCTATTTACAACACTCTTTTCTGAAATTTCACATTTTCCCCTTCAGAAGAGCACATTCCTTTTGCTCTGAAGAGTTTAAAAAGAAAAAAAAGTAGGAGCTTAAGTTACCCTGTAAGTATCTATTCTTTCAAACTTAAGTTCCAGTCATATGCATTTCTCTTAGCATTCAGTTGAGACGATCTGATCCACTGGAACTGTTAATAGGCAAAAACCAGTATTAGAAAGCTTCAGCTTGCAGTCAGCAGACATGAATGAGGTGTCTTTTTGAGTTATTTGCCATTTATTTCCCTTCAAAAAAAAAAAGGAAAAGAAAAAAAACAGGAAGCACACCTTATCTATGGAATTCACGTTCTTGGTAAGGCCCAAGAACTATCAGCAGAGATTTGATGAGTATCCAGATGACGAGGAAATAAGAACCAAAGGTCCCTAATTCAACATACATGATTACAGGCCATTGCTGACATATCACTTACTTGACATGCAAAAAGTTTTCTCAAACAAGTATAGGAAATTTTGTCTGAGCACCTGCCTCTCAGACTTAAAATTTTCCAAGAAATACATCCTATAGATAACAAGAAAGTAAAGTAATACTGGAGCCTTAACAGTATCGTTCACTGGTAGAAATACCATTGACCTACATTTAGGTTTTCAAATACTCATAAAATTGAAAAACTAGTAAAAAAAGCTCTTATTTAGATACTATGTCTCAAAAGGAGACTCTGGAGAAAAATGTTTCCAGTTAACAATGTTGGCATATGAAAGATTTTTTCTCAAATGATTTAAATGGAACGTTCTGTATTTCAGTTTGTGCTCAGTGCCTCTTGTCCTGTCGCTAGCTACCACTGAGAAGAGAATGGCTCCATACTTTTATACTTGCCCGCCTCAGGCATTTATACATATTGATAAGATCCCCTCTGAGCCTCCTCTTGCCCAAGCTAAACCGTCCCAGCTCACTTAAGTTTCTCCTTGATTGAAAGATGCTTCAGCCCCTTATTCATCTTCGTGACCCTTCACTGGACTTGCTCGAGTATGTTCATATCTTTCTTGTACTGGGGAGCCCAGCACTGGACACAGCACTTCATGTGCGCCCTCATCAGCGCTGAGGAGAAGCATAGGATCGCCTGCTGGAAACAATCTTCCTAACGCAGCTCAAGATGCTGTTGTCCGCCTTTCCCATAAGGCTACATTTCTGACTGATGATCAACTTGGTGTCCCTCAGGATCCCCAGGTCCTTTTCTGAAAAAACTTTTCAGACAGTCAGTCCCCAGCCTGTCTTGGTGTATAACGGGGTTATTCTTCCCCAGGGGCAGGACTTCCCATTTCCCTTTGTTGAACTTCATGAGGTTACTGTTTGCCTATTTCTTCAACAGCTTGTCAACATCCTCCTGAACAGCAGCACGTACCTATCAGTCACTCCTCCCAGTTTTGCACTGTGCACAGACTTGCTAAAGGTGCACTCTCTCTTATCATCCAGGGCATTAA